ATTATATAATCCAGATTACATGTAATCAGTTACTACCCAGCTCTGGCCGTGATGAAATGGAATAATAGCGTACTACACAATGCATAGCATATACTGAATTATGCCCGTTTTTAAACATAGAATGAGAAATACTGAGCATGATGCAATAATAAAGTAAGCATCCTGTGATAATGGTAATAATATCATGGCAGAGTGCTTGAAGTGAGTACTCTGAAGAGTACTGGGTATTTTTTTTACATGTCCCGTACACAAAGATATACAATATCTATACTGCTGCTTTATTTTGAATCTGAATGTAAGCTTGTTTGTAACAGCCAAATTATAGATATTAAGACTGTTGTAGCAAATTTGAATCAAACACGGCCTCAAAACAAACTCTTTTTCTTTTTAAATCCCAAGTAAAATTACCTAATTTTTGACAATGATTTGTGAGGACCAGTATCAAATGTGATCATAAACAGCTAAATTACTTTCAAACATAAATATAACTTTAGTAGTTTAAATATAAAGCACTGCTTTACTGGTGAATGATAAAGACAAGTTTCACTTGTCAAGCCTATTTCAGAATGTGTTCAGGACAATTTTACCCATAATCACAATTTTGGACAAAACATTACTGAACGTCACACAAAATAGGACATGGAAATCTCATCCTTTGTGCTCGTCTTCCCTATGGAAGAATTATACAGTAATGGGATCTGGATTTTGTCTTTGAACTTCGGAGACTCGTTTAGTTCACTGTGTGTTGTAAGTGTCCTACAGTATGTTGCCCTAACACAATGGTGCAGTGGTCACAGCTCACTTGCACAAACAGTAGACAAATTAAGCAATAAAACAGCTATTATTATCCTTGTGTTGATAGTGTAGTCGGAGAACAATCAAACAGAAGCTTCCTGAGAACACAGAGGTTTAATGCAAGTGGTCAAACAGCTCAGCTATACTTTTCCACACACAAATGCAGGCATAAATTAAAACAACAACATAAAAATACGCAAAATAAACACATCAATTTTGCTCTTTCTTGATATGAAAATACACCCTGATTTCTTTATGTATCGTAGTGCATCATATTTCACTCATTTTGAGTAAACAAAGGCAAAAACGGTGTAAATGCAGCACAATCCCTCTGAGAGGTTTAATGCAGGTCTGACTCAAGTTCTTACAAAGTGAAGAACATGAAATGAAAACTTTCTTAACGCATTTTTGTTAAGAGGGCATCGGTTTACAATCGTTGCGTTCTATTTGCTTTTGCTGCTTCGCATTGCGCCCTTCATGTCCAGTGTAGTTTTCATGTAACATTTCGCTTTAGGGTCATTAATCCAAGACCAGATCTTTATCATGTCCTGTGGGCTCCTGGGATGGACCAGAATCAGACTTTTGTAAGCACAAGGATTCTCTCTGTGCTTCTCCTCAATGTCAAAGGTCTTAAAGCCCATGTGTTTCTCCGGTACTAGTCCTAGTCTCTTCAGACACATCCCTGTAAACACGTCGTCAATCGGATACAACGTGACCAGACGGGAGATCATTCTTAACCGCAGCCCCAGATTACCCGAATACAGGAAGCCTCCGCCTCCTGCGTATGGAGGGTAAACGCCACGAAACACGCTCTCAGGGATGTAATACTTGAGGTGTTTGGTCCGGTGTGGTCCGGCATTAGTGATCACATCGCCAATGAAAAGGTCCTGTGTCTTGGACACCGAAAAGTTGCCTAGGTAAGCCAGCATATGCCGTGTATTGACGAAAATGTCATCGTCGCATTTGAACACATACTTGGCGGAAGCGCAATGGGTCCCAAACCACTCCAGAAAGAGGACTTCCTTTAAGGTGAGATTAAAGAACGTGTCTCGATAATCCCACTGCAGGACATCGCCGTACAACGCCGCTTCGTGTTTGACCATGTCCGACAAGTCCGGGAAGTGGTCCGTCGCTGCCGTGTTGCCAAGTAGGAATACTGTCGCAATCCTCTGGCCGTCGAGAATCCCAGCGCGACCCCATGATTCCCGGATGGCCTGCCGTCGGTCAAAATGCGGTGCAATGGACTTTACTGCAAGCAAGAGGTACGGCGGTTCAGAACACAAGTTGGGTGCGTCAGTTATCAAAGGGTACGACCTACATACCATGTACAACAAGAAGTCCTGGAATCGCTGTGGTAGGGACTTAAAGTCTTCAATCTCTGTGGTCACCCTGCTGTCCGGCTCGCAGGGACTCGTGCGATTCAGCCAACGTGGGATTCCCCTAAAGTCATGCGGGGCCTCACTGCCATTTGCAAGCGGCAGGTAGTAGATATCATCGAGACGCTCCTGCTCGCGATTCCAGAACGCTGGACTGAACTCTGGCTTCTTCCAGAACTTTTTGGGCGTCAGTTTCCGTCGATTGTAGATGTCTTGCCCCTGCCCATAGCTTCTGGACACTTCCACCACGAAGTAGATGAGGAAGTTTGCTAACATCAGCAATCCCAGCACCTTGGTGGTCTTCCAGTTGCTGTTCATCTTGAAGATGCCCTCACCACCTAAAAGAAAAACAAAGAAACGTATTACCTGTTGGGTTACCGTCTGGGAACAGAGGTTTGGAGAGTCTACAGAACATGGTGGAGAAAGTGTGACGGGCAAACCACAATGACTTGGAGCGTAAAGGAACATGCTAGTTACATTAGTCGAAGCCAGTTAGTATGGACTTGAGCTGTGAGTGTTTGATCCATCGACATAAAGAATGTATTAAAAACTCAACCACCAAAATAAAGTTAGTTACACTCTTAAAAATAAAGGTTCTTTATTGGCACTGATGGTTCCATGAAGAACATTTAAAATCCTTGAAACCTTTCCATTGCAAAAAAGGTTCTTTTGACTATTAAAATGTTCCTCACACTAAGAAAATAATGGTTCTTTTAAAAACTGTTTACAGAAAGGTTCTTGCGGGAAGCAAAAAATGGTTCTTCTATGGCATCACTGCTAAAACACCCTCTTTTGCGGCATTATAGAACCTTTAACATTAATGGAACCTTTCTATTCCACTTAATGTTCTTTATAGTGGAGAAAAGGTTATTTAGATTTTTTAAATGTTCTTTACAATACAAAAAGGTGAAAGGTTATAAGAGTTATAAGAGTTTTACATAAAACCTTTACTGAATTAGTGAATTAAGCTGCATTCACACTGCACTTGAAAGTTTCCTTCACATTTGATACATATCTGTCAACTGAATGAAAATGAGTAAAAATCATGAATTTCAATTTTTATCTGGGTTGCTGTCATATTTGGAAATAAATTGGATTCAAATCCTTTATCTATTCATTTGCTATGAACAAAAAATGTCTCTGAAACAACTTTCCCATGCCACAAATTCTTTTTTCATTAAATCACTTTGTAATAATGTTAAATATATTTAGTTAAAACAGCATCAAAAATGAATGAAAATTATGTCACATGTTGTGGGTCACATTTAAATAGGTCATGTGAACAACTTTCAAACAGATAACCAGAATTGAGCGCTAAAGGCTTATGGTGTTAATGTAGCACATTATTATACCTCAACCCAAAAAAGCTCATGCAAAGCCAATAACTAACCACAACAGATAAATAATTCCTCAACCATGAAGTACAAAGAACAACCTTTGCATGTCAGTTTTAGTAGACAAGTAAAGAGAGCTTGAATAGTTCATCCAAAAATGAAACTTCTGTCATTAATAATTTCAAATGCTGTAATTTTTTCCATACAACACAAAACATTTTTTCTTTTCTTTACATAGAAATACTCCACAATTTATAATAAAACATCATAAAAACACAATTAATGACTGGTGCTCTAGATTGCATGTCTTTTGAAGTCAAGTCATAGCATTGTGCATGGAAAAACCTGAAATGTAAGTATTTTATTCTACACACAAAGCTGTCCTATGATTTCATAAGACTCAGAAAAAACACATCTTCTGTGCTCCACAAAAAAAAAAAAATTCTGGATGCACTACTTCTTTGCGAAAGATCCAGCTAAAACCGTGAACCACTAATAAAACGTTAAAGTAACGGTTGATCCGTTACTCACAGCGAGGACATCTGCAGGGTAAGTCTAGGGTGAGATCCATGAGTGAATCCGGTGTGAAGCGTCCAGGGTTTCTCCTCCTGTAACTGTAGCTGAACAGTAACGAATTAACCTGCTGCATATCAGCCAATGTTTTTAATATATCAGACTCCACACCATCCTTCATAGAGCTTCCTTACCTCATTCACTCATACACATCATGTGTTCCTCATGACACCAATTACAGATGTGCAATGTCATAGTCAACGTATAGTCAGACCTTTGGCTAAACAACTCTGCTACAGTGCACACAGTTTATTTTGACCCAATAAGACAGGAAGAGACCATTTATAATGAGTAATCTCAGTCTGTGTTGCTTTATTGGGTAGTTTAG